TTTTTTTAAAAAAAATTACTATACTAGTCTCTTTAGAAAATATCAAATGCCTTGGCTATCTTGTCTCCTGCAGATCAAGGCATGTTGTAAACAGTGGTGGGTTTCAAAAATTGTTGGAACCTACTCTGTGGGTGTGGCCTCCTTTGTGGGAGTGGCTTGCCGCCCATGTGACTGGATGGGAGTGGCTTGCTGCCCATGTGACTGGATATGAAATTATGAAGTGCTTAGGTCGGTCCAAGTAGCTATTCAAAAACTCTGTCATTGAAGCATGCAAGTCTTAAAGCTGTCAAGTTACAAGATCCTTGCCAGTGGTGGGTTTCAAAAAATTTTGGAACCTCTTCTGTAGGTGTGGCCTGCTTTCCGGATCCACTGACCGGTTCGGTAGATTTGACGAACCGGTTCTACCTAATAGGTGCGAACTGGTAGGAATCCACCTCTGATCAAATTGTACCATATAGAGACATTGAGAAAGATGAAGAAAGGAAGAGGAAGAGATTAGATTGAAGTGACATTTTAATGTTGACATTTTAATAAATCTTCTAAAAAAATTACAATTGTCTTATTCGCTATTTGAATTTTATACAAATGGCATTTTAAAAAAGCTTCTAGCATATAAAATTGCAACAAAATGTACAGTGCATGGCAGATATAGTATATAGGAAATATGAATGACTCAAGGAGATTTTATTTGATCTCTGATCTGTAATTTTAATATCAATTTATCATTCAAGCAAGAGTATGTCAAGTAGATCAGTTTTCCTGTGGGAATGGACGTTGTATTCCACGTTCATGGTTGTGTGATCAAGAGGATGATTGTGGTGATCAGTCAGATGAAACAGCAACTTGTGGTAAGTTGAATCACAGACTTTATAAATAGAATATTTTATTTGTATAAGAAATTAATTTGTAATTTGATAGTACTCATGACAGGCCATGTATTGCCTAGCTCTTCTGTTGTCTTACATATTAAACTCCTCTAGGAATGAGTATCATGCTCCCAGTGTTTAGGCAACAGATGATTAGATAACTAGGTTACATAAATTCTTTCATAAAATAAATTCTACTACTTTCCAGTCTATAATTCAGTATTATTTGTTTGCTTGTTTCTTGGACACACCAAGTACTTGACAAACTATATAAAGCAAACACTTGAGATATAAAAGGATTTTATTCAAAATAGATTAAAATGTAATCTTATATTATTGAGAAGAAACAATTCAGAAAACGTTCTATTTCCCCCTTTCAGAGACTTTTTTAAAAAAAGTCAACAACAACAAAAAGGATAATGTCTCTTCCACATGCACGTATATCTACCTTTCATTAATTATGATAGTTTAGCAAAATAATAAATAAAATAAAATAAGCGGGGAATGGGAATTATTAAAAATAATTCATTTTAGCAAATGATAGTGGTGCTTGGGAATTAGGGAAGAAGGAAGAAAGTGTCCTAAAATGAATATAGAAGCACAGGAACATTTCAGAAACACAATGAAAACTTGTCTTCTATTGTTAGGAAGAATTTCATTTGACGAGAATAAAGAGTTACAGTTGCAGACAGGAAGAGAAGGGTAAAGAAAAGAAAAAGATTATAAATTTAATATTTAGAAGATTAGAAATCTATTACTGCCAATAAATGTTATAAGAAGTTTGTAAAATAAAGCTAAATAAAATAATAATACTAAATAAAATGGCTAGTGATGTATAGAAAAAGCCAAATCTGGAAATTTCTGCTGCTGCCAAATCCTAGAAAGAGCTTATGTCTCTAAAGCTAAGGAGTTATGATGTTATGTTATGATTTCTGTACTATATAAACTTGTACTGCATGTGGATCTTGCTGGAAATCAATATGCTTCTACAAATTTTTGTGACTATAACTGCCTTTGGCATGAAAACAAGACTACTCTGGCTTCTACAATGTGACCATTTCATAGTCACTAGTCACAGATGGGGTTTGTTAATCTTCTCTCTTTAGCAAGCTCAGCTGCACTGACTTCACTAGGAAAGAAAAATTGATATGAGGTAAAATATGTGTGGAATGCAACTCATCTTCCTTAACTTTATGGCCTTAAAATATCTAAGGTGTTTCATAAATCATATATGTGTGACTACTCTACTGCAATGAAACCATATATTAATTCAATTATTATGATTGCTCTTTTGATACTGAAGTCTACACTCTTTTAAGTTCTTTCTTTGTCCCACCTCATCTGGTGTCTTACAGGCACAGTGCTGACAACAGAGGCATGACTATTGGTTTAGCTCTTATGGTAAAAAAGCTAGTGTAGTTATCTCTTGGAATCTATAAGATTAGCAGAAACTCTGCTTCTTAGCTTTGTTATGGGAAAATGACTATTAATTAATGACAATCTAAATTGAGCTCCCTTGATATTTGTTTTTTATCCTAAAAAAAATCTAAGCCTAATAAGGTGGTATAAGTTACTGAGTTGAATATATCTTAACATATATAGTTCACATGTCATAAAAATGAAAAAAGAATACTACTATGGACTTAAAATATATTTATACCTCTAATTTAGGAAGAGAAAAACAACAGGATTAAAAGGATTAAAACCACTGTTAAATGGTCTTTTATCCTTTTTAAGTTGATATTCTGGCTTTTATCAGCTACTTTGCATCAAACCTTGTGAAAAGCAGCAATTAAGACACATGCTCTTTATACATTTTGAAAATCATGTAATTGTTCTTCTGTTTGAGTCTCCTGCTAAAAGCTAAGAATTCTCTCTTTCTCTCATATAGGTATATGTAAGTATATACATACATACACATACACACACATGCACATATATACTGTGTGTGTGTGTGTGTGTGTGTGTGTGTGTGTGTGTGTACAAACACAAGAGAAACACGCATATACATTTAATTTGGCACCTGACTCTTAATGACTCTGGGTGGCTCACAGCAATGACAGAAATTACAATAAATAAAACATTAAACAATATCAAGCCACTCTACCTTGCTAAAGGCCTGGGTGAAGAGCTGTCTTCTAAATAAGGGCAGAGCCATCCAGAGCTTGGAGGGAACTTTATTTCATAAGTCAGGCATGGCTACAGACAAAACACGTTTCTGGGGTCCCTATAGATAATATTGCTTAACCAAAGGAACCTGGAGCAGCCCAAACTAGCAGGAGGAAATTGGCCAGATAGATGCTATGGGAGATAGGAGAAACTCAAGTAAAGTGAACCTGCTCCATGTATAGATTTATAGATAACAACCAGCACCTTGAATTGCAGCCAGAAGCAAAGTGGCAGCCAATGCAGCTTGCAAAGCTGATATGTCATTAATGCTTATGCTGCCTCCTTCTCTATCTGCTTCTTCACATTTTGGAGGTCTTAGGTAAGGTGACCAGACGTCCCGCTTTTGGCGGGGCACCCCCGCTTTTTGATACACTTTCCCGCGTCCCGCCCGCTTTTTCAAAAGGCACACTTTTTTTGG